GGGCTGCACGGCTCCGTAGCACCAGGATGGTGGTGGCAGCTGCGTGCCGGCTGGTGGGGGGCTTTGTGGGCAAGCGACGCAGGGCGCGGTGTGGTGGTATCTGCCATGTGTGGACCACACACATGCTGCCCAGCCATCTGGCCAGGGGTGCGGGAAGTGGGGCTCACATGCAGCCAGCTGCACGACTCTGTGGCCACGGCTTGGCAGCAGCAGCGAGGAGTGGTTGCTGTGGGGGCTTGCGCAGCAGCCGCAAGTGCTGCTGCTTGCCTGTGGAGCCATGCTGCATGTGAGCCCCCCATCAGTGGGTCTGACTCTGCACACAAGCAGCAGCGGTGCTGTGAGGTGGTGGCGGCCACCATGTGCGAAACACCCCCGCTAGCTGGCCGGGCAGCATGCAGCCGCCACCACCACCATCCCATGCTGCCACCGCTGCTTGTTTAAGGAGCTGTGCCCGCAGACGGGGGCTCGCATGCGGCAGCCACGGCCACCACCATACTGCCGCTGCCGCCCTGCAACCAACCTCACAGCTGTGCAGGCGTTGCTCCACAGTGGCAGCGCGGAGGTTTTGCACGCAGCAGCTGGCACGGCTCCACAGGGAAGCGGCAGCGGTCACTGTGTGAGAGCCCCCCACAGCCACCATCCCACGCTGCTGCTGCAGAGCCATGGCCATAGAGCCATGCAGCTGGCCGCATGCCTTTCTATAGTGCAGGGCCCAAAACTGGACACAGTATTCCAGAAGTGGCCTCACCAGTGCTGAATAGAGGGGAAGAATCACTTCCCTTGATCTGCTGGCAATGCTTCTGCTAATGCAGCCCAATATGTTGTTAGCTTTCTTCGTAACAAGGGCACACTGTAAGCTAATATTCAGCCTATGGTCCACTGTAACTCCCAGGTCTTTTTCTGCAGAGCCACTGCTTAGCCAGTCTGTCCACAGCCTGTACCAGTGCATGGGGTTGTTCTGTCCTAAGTGCAGGACTTTGCACTTGTCCTTACTGAACCTCATAAGATTTCTTTTGGTCCAACCTTCCAATTTGTCAAGGTCTCTCTGAATCATAGCCTTACCCTCCAGTGTATCCAGTATTCCCTCCATCTTGGTGTCATCTATGAACTTGCTGAGGGTGCACTCCACCCCATCCTCCAGGTCATTGATGAAGATATTGAACAAAATCAGCCCCAGAACCCACCCAAGGAGCACTCTACTTTACCCCAGCTGCTAATTAGACATTGAGCCATTGATTATTACCCTCTGAGCTCAGTGCTCCAGCCAGTTTTCTATCCACCTTACAGTCCATTCATCTAGCCCATACTTCCTTAGCTTGCCTGCGAGGATGTTGTGGGAGACCATGTCAAAAGCCTTGCTAAAATCGGGGTATATCACATCCACTGATCTCTCCGCATCCACAGAGCCAGTTATCTAATCACAGACGGGAATCAGGTTGGTCAGGCATGACTTGCCCTTGGTGAATCCATGCTGACAGTTCCTAATCACCTTCTTCTCCAAGTGCTTTGAGATAGATTCTTTGAGGATCTGCTCCATAATTTTTCCAGGGACTAAGGTGAGGCTGACTGGTCTGTAGTTTCCTGGATTTCCTTTTTCCCTTTCTTAAATATGAGCACTATGTTTGCCTTTTTCCAATCATCTAGGACCTCTCCTGATTGCCATGGGTTTTCAAAGATGATGGCTAGCAGTTCTGCAATCACATCAGCCAACTCCCTTGTCGCCCTCAGGTGCATCCCGTCCTGCCCCATGGACATGTATACGTCCAGCTTTTCTAAATAGTCCCTAACCTGTTCTTTTGCTGCTGTTGCTCTCCTCCCCAGACTATGCTGCCTGGTGCAGTAGTCTGGGAGCTGACCTTACCTGTGAAGACTGAGGTGAAGAAGGCATGGAGTACATCAGCCTTTTCTTCATCCTCTGGCAAAAGCTTGCCTCCCCCATTCAGTAAGGGACCCACAGTTTCCCTGATCTTCCTTTTGCTACCAAAACACTTGTAGAAACCCTTCTTGTTACCCATCACATCCCTTGCTAGCTGCAACTCCAACTGCTCTTCGGCCTTCCTGACTTCATCCCTGCATGCCCAAGCAATGCTGTTATATTTTTCCCTAGTTATTTGTCCAAGTTTCCACTTCTTATAAGCTTCCTTTTTGTGATTTAGTTTACTGAAGAGTTTGTTCCCTACTAAGCCAAGCTGGTCTTCTGCCATACTTGCTGGTCTTCCTGCACATTGGGATGGTTTGTCCCTGCAGTCTCACCAACACTTCTTTTGAGTACATCCATCTCTCCTGGACTCCTTTCCCCTTCAAACTGGCTTCCCAGGGGAGCCTGAGAGAGCCAGAGTCTCTCTCAGCTGAGAGCCTTTTGTCCCGGGATCCTGCAAAAGCCTACTGTCCCACTCTCAATACTTGTGAAGTATGCAAGATAAAATGTATTGACTACTTTTTTCAGGAACAATTAAGGCTTATTCCAATGAATTGTCATCCAAGCTGCTTGTGTAAAGGGTTGTGCTCCTCTTATTTTGGCTCTTATTGGCTCCAGGTTTTGACTAGGGTCAACTGGAACCACCTCAAATGCAAGTCTTTTTTTAGACGCAGGTTCTACCAGCCTCTTTTTCTCCCTTCTCTTCAGCATGACCTCATTCCCTCCAATCTTCTCCATGTGGCTTTTTGTCAAGGCACATTTTTTCTCACTTCTTTCCAGTCACCCCCTCTAACTTTTCTCAGTTCAAGTAGTCTCCCTGGCAAGCACATCTCACTTCTCTGGACTTTCTAGCCTCAATGTCCCTGCCCAAGCAACTCCAGTGGTTCCCTTTCTCAGGTCCTCATCACATTTGTCTTTCTTGGCCCCACCTCAGTCTCCAGCCAGCCCCCATTTTTAATCTCTACAGGCTCCCAGTCTTAATCTCCTTTTGCTCTCCTTATGCAGGTTCCTTGCCTTCCCCAATCGGATCATTTTCCCAGTCCTCACCCCCCTCACACCATACACATACACATTGGATCTTCAAGATTTCTCCCGTTCTCTCTTGGCTCCTTTATTCTGCCTGACTGATTTTTAGTCCCAGTCTGCCTTCGCCCCTGCTCTTAACCCATGCTACTTGTCCCAATTTATGCTTCCCTGTGCTTCCTGCAGATGCCAATCTTGTCCATTCTACATTCAGCACTGGCTGGGCCCAGCAGACAGATAGGCGCCATGCTTTCAGTTCAGGGACCTAGAGCTAGAAAGACAGTTGTAGGGGAAATCTTTGTCGTAAAATAGAGTATGCTGAATGTGACTTCAATGTAGGGGATTAGGGAATTTTCCTGC